CCTGTACTAATGCCCACATCATGGACGTGGCAGATGCTCATAATTCTCACCCCTGAGGACACTTCTGGAACAGACAACACACCCTTTAGCACTTCTTTACATCTTACCTTATTCACACCAACGGGTCGACTGGAACTTTCTCCTGTCAGGGCTGTACTCAGGGAGCATCCCGTGAGATAGGACTGAGCTACCTTCCTCAGAGAAGACCATCATGGTAATGGTTCCCATGTAGCACATCACAAACTCCTCTCCCAGATCATCTGGCTGCCAGACCTCCCACCTCTGGCTTTGGGCTGCCAAGACATGATAGCTATGAATGCAGCCACAGTCCCACAATGACCAGCTAAGCTGCTACAAGATGGTAATCCTTTCCTTCAGCACAGCATCAAGCTAGGTTTCTGTACACTTTTGTGGATCCTGATGGAGCAGGCTTCACCACAGAAGAGAAACTCCTCATTTCTGACTCATTCTAGACAAACAAATGCATATTTGCGGTGACTGAGTAACAAAGCTTCATCAAGCAATGCTCTGCAAGCAAGTACTATGCACACTAATTCCCAAAATATTCCTAGAGAGGCCAACTCTTTTGAGGCTCCCTTGTTCGTATCTGTACAAAATGGGTCTTTTTTCTGACTGCTGCTTGGTAATCTCCACACTGCTTTTGCAAAGTCATTTTGATTTATGTTCCTAATATCAAAGTCTCCATACCTTGAGAAGTAATAATTAAGTAACCATCTTCTACAGATAATTTTACTAATTCATTCCAAGTGGAAGATTCGGGTGGGGTTATTCAAAGAACAAATATGAAATTAAATTTTAGTGAAACTCAGCTGGAACTGATTGGAACTACCTAGAAAAGGGTCAAATCTGAGAGGTACATGTAAAAGACAGTTAATTCCTTAAGGAAACTAAATCAGAGCATTATCAATTCTTGTAGATCCACATTTAGCATTCATATTTTGTACTGGGAGAACATAAGATAAAACTTGTGAAAGGGTTGAACAACAGTTGGTCCCTAATGAAGCTCAAGCCAATGCAACTACCAAAGTTTTCTTTCCAGATATTGTACTGTACTCTCCTGTCTCAATCTGACATCCTTAATAAATAAGTAACATACTAAATTGGAATTAAAATTATTTTTCAGTTAATGGCTACATCTTAACAGATGCATTAAGAAGCACAAACACCAGAAATGATCCTACATGTATTTCTAATCCCAGCTACTAAGAAGAGACACGTCATGTATTCTGTACAAAGAAGGAAAGGATGGAATCATGGTCCTTCATAAACGATACCCACACTTTCATAAGGCTGAACACAAACAAACAAACAAGTGGTATGCTGTAATGAACTACTTGCATGCCCTGTCATACATGAGAAGTGCTGGGCTGCTTTTCCACTTGCTGAGCATTCAGAGGAGGGCTCAACATCCCTAGCATGGTTAGAGTCTTAGTACTTCACCTCCTGCAGAGGTAAACTTTTCCAAGACATAGTTATTATCGAACAAAAATTATTCTTTTGAGCCCAAATTTCTCCACTAGATAGACAGATAACAGGACAGGGTGGCTTAACCAAAGAATGGAGTTCTGAGTCCATCAGATTAAAAAGTCGTGTATTTTCTTTTGGTAGAAAAAAAATTAAAAGCAATCACATTTTACTATCCTACACTCAATGTTGTAACATTTTTATTCTCGGCATCAGTGAAGGCAAACGTGAGGGAGTCTGAATATTACCAATGCTTGCATGAAGCTGGCCAGAAGGCCTATCGAGGTTACTTAATGATGTGTGTATTCCTCAATTTTGTCTATTTAATAGACAAAAAATAAGTTACTCTGAGGAGTGCATTTGTTATGAGGGGATGAGTGGTTTTGATGCTTACTATTATAAAAACACAATATTGGCTGTAAATACAGACAATATATACATAGTCTAAAACATTTTTTCCTTTTTTTTTTCCCCTAAGCATAGTGTTAATAAGAGATGGACCACTATATTGAATGTTCATATATTAAACTTTTTTTATACATACATTTAAAAAATTTTTGATAACATATTCTGTCTTCGAAGTTACACAGGTAATTTTGTGACATAATTAATAAACCTTGCCTTACGTATGCTAAAAAATTTAGAAGTAGTGTAAGGGATTTCTTCATTACAGTTGAGAAACTGCATTTACTGTGAAGAAAAACAGAATATCCTTGTAATATGGAACTACAGTTCTCAGGTGACTGACTCAATGAAATATTCTAGAATTTGCTTTACCTGACTTATTACTTCACTAACACCTATTACTACTTAGTCCACAAGCACAGATTAAATATACTGCAAGCACAATTATATATACACATACACACACCACAGTATATTATATAACAATATATAAGTATTGTGTATATATATATATACTATATATATATACACACACTGATATATGTTTCCCTAGAAGCTAATTTCCAACTGTTTTTTTTCTCTCTTTTTTCTCTCTCTTTTTTTTTTTTTCCTTCAGGAGGTTGCAATTTCTTTTCACTATGAAAAACAAGACATTGAAAAAATCCCACCAAAAAACAAATCAAAACAAAAAAAGAAAAAAAGAAAAAAAACATAGTACTGAACCTCATGACAGAAGACAGTAACAATTTTCTAAAAGCAAGGGTTTTAAAGACCAACAAAAACATTGAAGTTCTTGGCGTAAGGCCTCTTCTTTATTCTTACAAACATAGTGTTATGAAACTTCTTTCACCTTAGCATGAAAAGATCAGAATTGCTGTCTTGATAATGTTTGTTGGCCTTCACCAGCCAAAGCAAAGTAAAGTCCCTAAAGGCGATAAATCAACAAGGCTCAAACACACAGGAATCAGCCTGCCAGTCCCTAGGCCAGCCAAAGGCTCAGCTCATTACAGCCAATGTCCACGTACATGCACACACTCGTGCTCTCAAGTTCTGCTTGTTTCATGGTGTATTATTGAAAAGTGATTTAGTTTCTCACACTTTCAAGATACTAAATATTCTAATATACTAAGCATGCGAAAGACACAGAGATTTGTCCTCAGTATGAAGTAACATTTATAGATACCCTTGAATTTGGTTAGATTGCTGTGTAAGTTTTTATGCAATGTTCAATATAACATAACCTTTGCATTATATGAGTAAAGTAGAAACTGAAAAATCTAGATAGTGCAGCAAGATATTGCTAACAAGTGTTAGCTGAAACATACTTTACTATTAATTATTCTGATCACTGTCTCAAGACATTTTTCTTATTTTGGAATACCTACACCTTAACACAGCAGAAAACGGACTATTAACATGACTGTTGCCAGGGTAAGGAACAAGAAAGGGATATAAGAAGAAGATGAGATTCCAAACAGACATTTCTTTCTTTCTCCTACAAAGCTACATTTCTTTCTTTTTCGTACAAAACTACAGCAAGATGCAAAGAGCAACTACTTCCAAGTATCACCTCCAATTATTTTGTTGTTTGTATTTCAAAACTAAACTTAAAACTTGCTATTGAAACCAATATTCTTTAAAATTTTAGGTGTTGACACTGAATGGACAACCCTGAAGGAAGAATATAACCCCATTATATGCCACAATTTCATCTTCAAATTAGGGCACTGTGAAGTTTTTTTTTCTCAACTTAGTGACCAAAAGCAGATAGGAGCCCATCCTGGACCACAAATTCCATTACCTCTATTACCTGAATTTTCTGTTTCATTAGGACATCACAGCACCCCACCTAACCGAAGAGAGGATTTATGGGAAGATTTTCAATTACAGCAAAAGAAACTAGGGGCACTCAAAATTGCTGTCTATGCCTTTACTGTACAATTTCAATGATTTTCTGTAAATTTCAATCCTCAGAAATGCTTGAGAAAAGCATCATTTATTGCTATATAGATTGCAAATAATGCAATATATATAAATACATATTTGTATGTTACTTTCTCATATATCTTCTAATGATAACATTATTTTTTTTAATAGGGAGAAGTGAGGACTTGTTCTCAGCTTGTCTTTATACCTATTTATTTCAGCAGGAGATTAATAAAATTAATTCAAATGCCAATTAGCATATATTTAGCTGAAGCAATTTCACATAGCTCACAGCATCCGTCCAAAGATCAATCTTCACTTATTTTGGAAAGAATGCCAACAATCCTTTGTAATTGAAGTTGTCCTATTACTACACTGCCTTTTTTTTTCCCCCCTGTTTTATTGGGCTCATAGAGCCTACTACTACAATTATCTCGTAGAAGAAAACATATTTCTTCAGACTCTGTAGCAGTACTTTCAGATAGCATTTGTTATCATTTCATTTGTTATCATATCATTTCAAAATTTTCATGTTTTAGGAGAATCACTGCCTCCTATAGGATCTGTTATACTGTGGAATTCAGTGACAAAAACAAACAACAAACAAAAAAACAGAGAAACAACTTTCTTGCCCCAGGTTATACATTTTACTTCATCAAGACTCAAAATCCAGCAAAATACAGCTACACTCCCTCATGATACATCAGTATTTGCATTAATGACCATGCAAAGAAATAAAAGCAAGCTGGTGTCTCAGCCATATCTAACATAAAGTGCTAAACAGCACTGCCACATTTCTTCCACTTAGACACATTAAAGCTTTAGATCTATTCTTATTTCCCAGTCTGCCTTACTCCATCAGAAAGCAGTACATTTCCCAGAAACCTTGTTCTTCCAATAAATTCTCTGAAGTGCCTATTATCCTAGCAGCACCTTGTGAGGATATATACAAGTTTTTTGTTTACCAAGTTCAGGGTAATGGGCAGTTGTAAGGGAGTCAGTAGAATTGGCTCCGTACTCAACTCTGTAATGATAATCAATTTTTGAGACAGTTTCCCCTGACAGGCAGGCAATAACTTAGGTATGGAATTTTTGAAAGAAGTGATACCCTCTGCAACTATACCATAATATGTGTGGATGTGTGCATAAATGAATTCAAAATTTTACTTCCATAGCAATCATACTTTGCATTATTGGCTTCTCTTCCCTTGTGAAGCTGTTCCTGCAAGGCTCTTGGTGCCCTCTCTCCCTCGGCATGCTGGTAATACTCCTTTCAAAGATGGATACTGCTATAAAGGAAAATAAAAAGCAGTATTATATTATTATTTCTTTGTCCTTGCACAACTCTTTAGATAAATCAAATGTCAAATTTATTTATTTTTTAATAAAGCCTATAATCTCAAAGCTTCAGGTCCATAGTGAAGATCAAGTTCTGCTACTGCCTGTCGACATCCTTTGCCTAATAAGGCATCTCAGTCCAGCTCAAGCTTCATTTCAGCTGTTTTTATTACTCCCTAAATATAGTTTTACTAACCTGCTTTATAAATTACAGTTGCCCACTGGCCTCCCTGCTGGTGGTGAAAATTGTTAATCCATTATTCAGCACAGAATCATGCAAGCATTATTATTAACAAGGGAGAAGATACTGTTTCAGCAGTGCCATTTAACCTCCCCTTCCATAGTAGAAGGTTAGGTAATGAGTGACAGCATAAAGAATAATGGAATCATTAATATATGAGGCCATCCTCTCTGCTTCTGTCTATCACAAGTATTAGAATCGTTTAAATAAAATACTTTATGTGACTAAAACACATTTCAGATGATATAATGATTTACGGCTTTGGCTGGTTGAATGCATATATTTTTCCTCAAGTTAGACTCAGGTCTGAAGGCTCAGTTTTGCCATGAACTAAACCTGTGTAATTCCACCACTTGGAATCATATGGAATCATTAGGGCTACGAAGATGGTGAAAGGCCTGGAGGGGAAGACGTACGAGGAACGGCTGAGGTCACTGGGACTGTTCAGCCTGGAGAAGAGGAGGCTGAGGGGAGACCTCATCACAGTCTACAACTTCCTCGTAAGGGGGTGTTGAGAGGCAGGAGACCTTTTCTCCATTAACACCAGCGACAGGACCCGCGGGAACAGGGTTAAGCTGAGGCAGGGGAAGTTTAGGCTTGACATCAGGAGGGGGTTCTTCACAGAGAGGGTGGTTGCACACTGGAACAGGCTCCCCAGGGAAGTGGTCACTGCACCGAGCCTGACTGAATTTAAGAAGAGATTGGACTGTGCACTTAGTCACATGGTCTGAACTTTTGGGTAGACCTGTGCGGTGTCAAGAGTTGGACCTGATGATCCTTAAGGGTCCCTTCCAACTCAGGATATTCTATGATTCTATATGATAGGAGGTATATTAGTGAAATATCACATCCCTGAAAAGTCTTTTTGCTACACTTTTTGAAAAAAAAACAATAATTTTGAAAACTTTTAAAATCAAGTCAGTCTGTAGAAAAACTATTGTAGAAATAAGTACTGCTGATTTAATAAGACAATTACACAATGTAATGTGAAATGGATTCTAGCAAAGGATTTTTCTCAAATGCAAGAAATTCAGCTCATGGGACAGCAAATCAAAGTGCATCTACAATGAACAAATAATTAAAATGTTTAATTAAGTTAGTTATGAAATATTGCAGTTTTGCACTCTGAAGGGTATGGGTTATGTGGATTCAATGTTCAATAGATATTTCTGGGTTGACCCTACTACGTGATTACTCCAGAGTTTCAAATCATGAGATCCTACACCAATTTATTCTTGCCAGCATTGTCTTTCTGTCTTTCCACTTCAGGCATAGAAACATACAAAAAGCTATTCATTGCTGTCAATTTATACTATCTAGAAAAACAACAGAAGGCTAACTTGGATTTTAGAGTTGACTCAGCTATTGTTTGTCAGAAATTGCAATCTTTCTCACCTCAGCTGAATGACAGGCTGAATCATGTAAATAACTGCACCTTCCACCACTAAAAGAAAGATCATTTCAGGTCAGTTGAAAAAAAGTGTTTTTCATTTACTCATGGGAAACAAAACAACAAAAAACAAAGAAGATTTCTCTTGTCAACCAAACCTCAAAACCTCAAACCAAACCTTTTTTTCCTCAAGTTATAAAAGTGAAACATTTTTAACATTTTAAAAACAATTTTTGAACATTATTTTCAGATCTCTTTCAAAGGGAACATTCATGCTAACCTGACTATCAAATTCATATGTTTGGTTTCTTTTTAACATTATTAAATGCATTTAAACAACCAAAAAAAAACCACCACCACCAAAACATACAGAAGAAATATTGCCTGGCTTTTCCTTCTAGTTGTCCTCTTGAAGAACATTCTCTTTGGAATTACTCTGAATTTACAGCACAGAATGACATACACAATACAAGCAGTAGTCTTAAAAACCAGGAACTCAGAAATTAGTTAACGACTGAGCAGTTGAAAATAAGCCTTGGGAAAAAAAAAAAAAGAAAAAAAAGTCTAAAACAGCCATGGTCCTTAACTGACTTGCAGAAGTTGTCAAAATGAATATTTATGATTTATTAACGAAATCATCACTTCCATTAAACTGCTAAATTTGCTGCTATGTACAGAGAGTATCTAGAGCAGACAATATAACTTTTGTAAGTCTTGTAACAGAAATGCTGTTTTTGAAATAGGTCTGCTCCCCTTTTAAACATGCCAGAGCCACCAATAGCTCACAGTCTCTAAGAATATACTTCACTGGGAAACTGGAATCTAATTTTAGAAGATGTGAACTTTTCTAACTATAAAAAAATTTAAAAATGCCCGACCTCCCAGGCTCTCTTCTAGCCCATGACTTTTAGTGGCTTCCCAGCTCAAGCACCCACATGATGTATTCAGCTTGGGTTTAGGAAGGTCTTGTTCTTACCATCATTTCTGAAGTTTGATCTCTGTGTTTGCTCCACACTTCATGCAGGCCCCCTACTTCTTTAAGAAGTCTCACAGTTTGTGACTCAGCAACTAGCTGCTTGTTGAGCCTTTCCTGTATTTGAGATTTCCCCACCTGGATATGCTCAGCTGCCCCAGGCAGTATCTCCCACTCCCTGGGGCCCTACTGCCCAGCTGCTAGGACGAGAAAATCAGAAAACCCACTGGCCAGCTGGACCTTCTCAGCACTCTCTCCTGTGTGTCTTTGGCCAACAAATCCAACAGTTTCATTACTTATTGTGCCCTGCAGTATAGGAAGCCTGAATCAATTGTTTCTTTGCTTTTGACACCTCTTGCTCTGCTTGCATTTTTACACTTCTATCTGTTCTGTAATAATAATAATGTCTGATCAAAGATGTGCTGTGCTGACCTTCCGTTCATTACCTAGCAAATTCACTCATCTATTTGGGTGCCAGCTGGCAGTTTCATAGGATTGTGTGTAGATTACCTGATCAGGTTTATGGACTGAAGAATCTACTAGCAGAAGGAGCATTTATATGGTTTACATATATATTAGCACAGAGTGGAAGATTTCTTTGGCTGCCAGGACAAGTTTAAATTTAATCTGGAAAGGACTGAATAATGGAAGTCTACGACGTATTTGGTGGTCATTCTTATAATTTTCTTTGGAGGAGGTGTCCCCTCCAAAAAGTGAAATTTATTTTCTTTTAGCTAGCTTCAAAAAGTACAAAAATATGTAGATCCTCCAATTACTATAAACAAAAAGCTGTAAAATTTTATCTACCATTTGTTAATGTAAAGCACACCTATTGTTGAACAAGCTACTGCACTTTCTGATGTGTCTGGAAACGTTTAGGGTTTTAGGCTGTTTCCAAAAGATGGAATTTTTAGGACCAGATAAGACTAGTTAATAAAAAAGAGAAAATCACAACTTTTGTGCACTGGGAAATAAAGCATATAGCTTCTATGAGTTCTGTTTATAGGGCCCAAATTGACCTTTTGTTCCAAACAGCTAGCTGGAAAAGTTTGGACCAATTAGGGTAATTATTGATCTATCACCTTGTGATACGTTGAAAAAAATGTGTATGTGATTTTCGAGTTGTTCAAGCAGTTTCAAAGTACATAATTCTGAGATGCTGAGTACCTCAAGACTACAAATTGAGCATTTGTTCTATGTAATAACCTCAGTGCAATTCATTTTGTTTTCTTCTGGTTACTCTGTTTTTTGGTTTTTGTTTTATTTCAAGCTTCTAAGAGCATTACACTGTCACATATGAAATATATCCTTGTGTGTTTTTTATAAGAAAAGGCTCTGAACAGGCTATATTCTGCCCACAGCCCAGGTCCCAATTGTCTTGGCCAAAGAAGCACAACGGAGTACAAGAAAATCAGCTTCATCAATTAGGAAGGGAGTGAACCCAAAGCTGTAGCAGTACTTTGCTCTCTGAACTGCAAAGGCAATAACAAGAAGACTGGAAAAAGATTGAGAAGAATCTAATCTGAAGAATTGAGAAGAATCTGAGTTATCTAATTTTTCTGCTCTCCACCGAATTTCATGGAAATCACAGTACTGTAAGTTAATCACCCCCAAATACACATATATACATTTATATATGCATATGGAAAGCAAACTGAAGCTGTCAGGTATCGTCAGGTATTTTATTGTGTCATAAGTATTTTGATTAATCCAGCGGTGGCTTACTAATGTGACAGTGCTTAGTATTGCCTCTTTCATTCTCCCAATATACCTCACATTCTTTGCTTCAAATGGTGACATATTCTGTAGCTCAATATCCATAATATACGAGCTCAGCCTTGACAGCACTGCACAGAGTCCTATAGTTGATATGATGCTAAGAAGTGGTTTTCTTCTTGCTTCCCATGGGGCACTTTCCCATCTCAGTGTGCAACCAACTGCTGACAAGATGGTTTATATGTACTGTACCAAGCACAGCTAGCTATCTAAAAGAAAATTAAATCTCACACCGAGAAAGGACCCACTATAAGTTAAACCTGCAATGAGCTGCACCTGTGCCAAGTACCATCATTAAGAGCCAATTTATTTATTTATTTATTATTGTTGTTCAATACAAGAGATTCCTTCTCTAAGCAACCTAAAGAAAAAGATCTAAAGACCAAATAAAAGACTAGGATTACAGAAGGCAGCTAGTAATTTCCACTTTTGTTATGTATAATCATAAACTTCAGAGTAAAGACATCTGACTGCCTGCAAAGGGAAGGAGATAAAATGGCCATAAGAATGAAAATTGAATTAGTAACATGGTAGATCAGGCAATTGTTGAATAAAATGGAGAGAACATGCAAGCTAAATAAGAGTTGTGGACCAGAAGGCAGGAACAAAGAGGGACTCTGTTTCACAGCAACTTCCCTCACTTCAGAATATACTTTCATTTCTCATTAGGAGCCAAACTTTTCAAACACTTTCAGGAAAACATTGTTTTTTCCTGATTGACAAACTAGGTTTTTTAATTCACGATGGTGTGAAGATGTATCAAAATCTTTCCTTACATGTAGGGATTATTGCATGACAAATTTCAAACATCTTTCCATCTCATTCAGAATGATTTTATGCAAAAAATCTTCTGCTTTGAATCCAATGAAGAGCAGAAGATATTCAAGAGACTCACTCTTCCTGGTCTAGTGTCCCGTGCTGCATGGCTACAGAGTGTGACTGAGGCAGAGTTTTTTGTTAAAACCAGTGTATCAGCATATCTGGTTGGTAGCAAAACTCCTAAAATCAAATCCAGTTTAAAGCCTTCCAACTGAGGTGATACTTTTTGTTTCATTCTCAACTTCCTTTTCCATAGTATTTTTTTAGATAAAAAGTGGCGGGAGAAAAATTCACAACCTTTACAGAATTTTATTTTTCAGTGGTGTTGATACACACAACAGTATTTGCCCTGACACTCAAGAAAACCATTTATATTTCATTTCAAACTACTTTCAAAATGATGCTATTCTACCTTTTTTCCTTTCATATTTTTAAAATGACAGGATGTTTTCAGTAGAAATTCTAGCATTTGCTGTATGAAAATTCTATGAGGGAAAACTCCTGTTTCTTAAAAAATACTTCTCTCTTAAGAAATTTAATGTTTGTTTGTTTGTTTGTTTGTTTTCTGTACAGGTATTCTGTTTTTACTTCTATCAGCATTGAAATCCTTGAAAATACAGCCAGAAGCCTGAATTACATTATATTGAACTTATTTAAACTGTGTTTTAAAATTTATTTTATTACACTGGTGCAAATACTGGTGCATCCACTTAAATAATTTAAAATCTGATTTATATTGATTTAATAAGTAAGTCAAATCCTTCTCAACTTAAGGTATGTCACTACAGGATGGGTTTAATTCACTTGATGGCTCCCTGTTTAATAAAATCGGTTTAGCACCCAAACTTGATTAATCAGTGCAATCTTGCATGATGCGAAACCAGCAGAAGCACAAGAAGTACTTTTATTGTCTAGATATACACTAATAGAAAAAAGAAAACAAATAAAATAGATGAAATTACTACGGGATGCAATTGCGCATATGCATCCTATGCTATGATGCCCCAAAAACCCACAAAGAATTCCTGTCATCAGATACCTACCTTGAACTGCTTCAGGAACCGAAAACCACAGACTTCCAGGAAAATGCTGTATGTATAATTAGCCCAGGATTAACAATGCTTTCTATGACTTCTCAGAAAATGCAAGTGTGAATGGCATTTCAAAACTGTGCAAAGGGGTGTTGTGAAAGAACCAAAGAAAAGCCATGGAACTCCAAAATACCATCACTCTGTATTTAACATTTTTGCTCAGATCCAGGAGTCTTTTGGTCATAAACCAAAAGCAAATCATCAGGAAAACAAAACAAAAAAAAAAAAAAAAACAAAAAACAAAATGCATTTCCCTAATATGCTTTAAAACTACACAATAGGCAACAATGTTTGATTCAACACAACTGCTTCTAAGCTGGTGGTTGAGCCCTTGGCCACAGTGTTCTCATATGAAACAATTCTGCCAAGAGCATGCATAACAGATGCTAAATATGCATGTCTCACACATTGCTTGAATTCGTTCATCACTGACTTCCTTTGGGATAAAAGAGATATTGTCAAAATGATAATGATGGTGTAAACATTTTGGACACTTCAAGCATTTTCTGAATGCCAGATAAATTCAGAATAATTTTTAGCAGTAGGCTTGCCAGAGCATCAACTGAAGCCTTCATTATAGCTATTCATATCCCTATAATAAGGGTTGCATCAGCAATTCCATTATAAACACTCTTTCAGAGGATTTGATAGTTTGGCTGCAAAAAGTATTTTTGGCTGAAACTTTGTCATACAAGTTGTCTTAGATTTAATTTCTTTAAGTTAGTTTTAAACTGTTCATCTGCTTTTTAGATGGAGGAAACATGTTTTAGAGGGTTTAAATTGTTCTTTTTTTGACTTACGTAAAAAAGCAAGAAGTTTTTTCTTTTGCAGTACCAACTATATAAGGAAAAGAAGAGCTAGGAGCCACATGCATTCCAGACTTGTAAAGAATTAGTTACCTGTGCATATTTACCCTTATATACATGCTAATTACATGTGCCCTGGTTAACTGACATGATCCAAATATCAAGGATTAAATGGGAGGGGATGCATCCCATGGAGGAATGGTGGAAAGGGTAACATCAATAAAATTATCAGCCGGAGGTTAAGTAATGTGCTTCTAAATAACACAGTGTAGTGGACACCCATATTATAAATGTAGTTGTGAAGGAAAAACTTGACAATCCATCCAGATTTACTGTAATCACTGAATCAGTAGACTGATTTCGTAAGTCAGCTACTTTGATGGCACTGACTTCTTGTAGTGTGTACAATACCCACAGCCTTTGTTAGATGTTTATTTTTCATCCTAATCTTGTTAGGTAACAAAGCATCGTCTACATTTTTAAGGAGAGGGGCTCAATAGATTCCAGCAGGTTTATCCCAGTGACGAGCTCAAAAATTGGGAAATGGATGAAAGCCCACAAAATGTCAGCATGGCTTCATCTCAATGAGAAGGGTACAATACTAATTTACGCTGAACTTAAAATCTACTAATGCCATGCTCACATTCATTTATAAAAAAAAAAAAAAAAGAGGAATGGGAGCAAGTTCACTGTCTTCAAATACTCTGTGATCCACTGCTACATCTTACTATTTAGTTCAAAATCTATATAGAACTACCAG